GACTGGATTTAAGTATGGTGAGTTTATTTTGTCGTCCGTGGTAGTAGAAGAATTTTTCAGTTACAGTTTCTTGACTTCTATTGGTGCAATGTTTCTTCTGTTCTGAGGAACTTGTTTGCTAGTCTGCTATTGTCGTCGTTTCCAGGTTTTTAAGTTACGATGATTTAGGATCGTTTGTTCTTTTTCTTTACACAACTTTGTTTGTTTGTTTCTTTTTACATCAAGTGAAGGGTTTTTAGTGTAGAAGCGTTCAATTAGGATTTTGGGTAGAGAGATGGAGAGATAAGGGAGGAGTTAGAAGCCGAAGACGGTGTTGCTTGTGTAACTTTCTATTTAAATTTTTGTGTTGCTGAGTTCATGGAAGCCGCATTCTCTAAGCGTTAGTGTTTTTTTTTTTCTAAGATGTGGCGACCTGAGGAGATTCTGCTGTTATAGGTTGGGAAATAGTGGTTTATCTAGACCACGGTGGAATGGTTTTTGGTGTTAGTCTGGGCAGTGGGGTGAAGTGTTGTCATATAAGATCGCGGGAAAGTCGTAGTTTTAATTGCATGGGTTGTTGCTTATCAAATGATTGCTTTGGAGTTGGGTAGTTGTGCAGTAAGCGGTTGTTTTTTTTTGGATTAATTATGTATAATTTCTTGATGTGGTTTGGAAGGTTTGTAGCTGATGTCTTTATGAAATTGATTTATTTTTGAAATGAGCAGAGAAGTAATCTGCGGTTTTTTACAGTGTAAGCGAGTTTATCAGTAAAGTAAGAAAAATTTTTCTGTGTTTGATGGTACCATCCTTATATTAGGGGGTCTTGCAAAGTAGGAACGCTTATTCTGTTGTGAAGTTGTCGGGTTATAGCGATTTTTTGCAGATTCATTCTATTTCTCAAAGCTAATATAAAGCATTCAGAAGATTATCCGATGTTCGTTTATTGTTACTAACGACACTAACATGGCGGACGGTGATTGGCCGTCGCAACGCTTTCGTGATAACGTTATCAATCGGTTAGAGCCTGAATTGGCGAGGAACCGACAAAATGCTCCAAACTTGCCGGTACCTGGCGACGCACGACAGGTAGCTTTTTGCTTTCATAGTTTCGTATCACTTAGACAGTTGAGTGTTTAAGGCGACTGTTTGTTAAGGCTTTTTGGGCATTAGGTTTTGGAACGACGCCCTTATAATTTCATTATAACTGTCACTTGTTGTTTATAAGTTTATACGTGTCAAGACATTTTCATTTTATTTTTGGTTGTTTTATGTCACGCATTAGGCTTAAAAAATTCTGAGACTACTTTTTGTAATTTTCTTCGTAAATCTAGCGATAAAGTAAGCTTACGAGTAGTTCTGTCATTGAAATCTTTTTTGAAATTAAGGGTTTGTCATAGATGTTTTTACAGTTTTTGCAAAGGAATTTTTGATTTTTCACTTGATGTCTAAATTTTAATGCATGTTCACAAGAATTGGTGAAAATACGTTTTGGTTTTGATACTTTTTCCTTTTTAGGTCGAAGAATATGTTTTCAAAAAGTGCAGCAGCAAAGATGAGTACATGCGTACCATCGCTAAGGTTATTAATGCAATTAACTGCAATTGTAAGCTTTTATTCCTGTTATGTAATACTCTCAGAAAATTATGAAATAAATGAGATTACTAGAAGTGTTAGTGGGTTGTTTTTTTGAATTTTGATTGTTTTCTTGGTTTCTCAACAAGTTTTATGACCACTCCGAGGGAGGTTTACTCGCTTATTTTTCGATATTACTCAGTGGACTTTTGTTCCCTAAATAGTTATATGAAGCTAGAAAAATTTTAAAATTGAATGTTTTTTGTTTCAGCCAAGTCTGCAGCAGCCCCTTCTTCTTCTGCAATGGTCCACTCACCATCATATCAGGCAAGTCAAGCTCCACCATCTAGTTATAGAGCTTCTGGTGTTCCTCCTGATCCGCAACCAACTCAGCAAGAAGCCTCACAGGCAAGAATTTTTTTACCGCTAAACTTTTCTTTTGATCTTTTGATCTTTAATTGGAGAAGTAAATTTTCTTTTGATGTTTGAACCGGGAAAATCTGATGTGAATTGCGGGAAGGGAGGAAACCACATGTTTTTTATTGGAAATGTTGTATATTTTGTTTGGCCATTTAGTGAGGAAATTGGGATTGTTTCTTCAACTGCTCTGACAAGCTTTCAGCAGTTGTAGAAATCTTGTGTTAATGTTTGTTTTAAAAAAAAAACTTCTGCGCTATTGTAGGGGCTTAGATGGCTTAGTTTTCGGGCCTAGTGCTTTTTTTTTTTTTGACAAAAAAGTTTTAGGAGCAGTTTCAAGCCCCGCCACTTGGTCAACCGCCACCAATGATGCAGTCCCAGCAAACCTCACCTCTAGGCTTAAACATTAGTGGCATTGGTCAAGGAGTTCAGAGGTCGCCAATTGCACAGCACGGTTCAGTGTCTCATCAGCAGCCTTTTATGATGTCTCCACCTGCCTCTTCCATGTCTTCTACTCAGCCTTCACCCACGCATCAAATTTTCAATCGTATCAAGACAGAACAGAAGGTCAGTCCAGATATGATGCAAAGAGAGCCTATGCAAAGATCATGGAAGCAACCTGAAATGGTATCTAATGCATATGGCCCGCAAATGTTCGGCAGTGCACCAGGATCATTTATGGAGCCAATGCATCCTTCAACTTCACATTCACAGTCTACTAGGATGGTTTCCACTCATCCTGTCCAACAACAGGCGCAGCAAGCATCTATACTAGAACATTTGATCAATTCTCCCCAATACGGCTCACAGCCCGCTCAGCCACAGGTCAGGAAAAGATTATTTTTAATTCGCTAATTTGTAAAGTAGGACAGCTTTAAGTTTGTCTTTATCACAGATTATTGCTTAAATTTTTTTAGTACTTACTTTTATTCCGCGTCAAGTCATCGTCTGTATGTAAATTTTTCCACTAATAATTTGATCTTATTTTTCATCCTTTTGTGTTTTAGCGTTTATATGAAACGAAATTGAGGAAGCTTATGAAGTATGCGGAACCCCTGAGGGCAAAAAGCAGGCAGTGCAGGATGGAAGGGAATGAGGACGCTGCTATGAAGCTTGATAATATGTCAGAAATTGTTGAGGGAAAGAAGTGAGCACAATTCTCTAAGAGACATTACAATGTTCTTTCTTGCAATCACTTATTTCAAATTTAATTTTTTACTAGTCAACTCTTGGATGAAATTTTTGTTCATTATTTTCTACCATACGTTATACGGTGGAGAGTACTATCTGGAAGTTTCTTTTAGGAATGGACTTTTCTCTTTTATGCATTTCCTCAGCTTTAGACAATCCCATTGTATGATTTTATTTTTCAGGGTGGTTACCATGGACTGTCTTGATCAGCTGGAAGAGTGGATTTACAAGAAACATGATTTGTTGGTAAAATTTCCTTACAAGCTATTTTTCAAATATTTTGGGTTGGAATTAGATATATATTTAATTTCAGAATAGGAAGTGCATTTTTGTTATTGTTACTAGTTTTTATTCCATAGAGAAGACATCTAGTAAATATGGTACTCTTAATAAGCGAAGAAAAATTTCAAATTTTTTTT